TTTTACATTGATACACTGCGGGACATATGTAAACTAGAGGACCCGCGCAACAGCCTTCCCATTGCCTTTTTAACTCATCTGTTTATATTACTTACCTGTGGTATAAAATTATTTCGGAATAAATATTGAGTAGATCATATTTTTAATAATGATCTTAGTTGTTTTTGTTTCATAGGTTTTTGTTTTGGTTGATGCTACGTTTAAATCCAGTTAAAATGTATTTTATTGCAGAGCCTCTTCCATAAAGTTTTTATAGTCGCGGTAGTAATTGCTGTGGTGCAAGCTGAAGGAACTGAGAATAATGCACCTTCCAGTAAACCAGCTGATTCTACTGACAAAACAGCTGATTCTACTGACAAAACAGCTGTCTCTACTGATAAAACTAGCGCTCTTACCAAGACCAAGTCGGGTGTCAACGCTGAACAACTCATACCGGAGCCGGATTATGGGCCTCCAAATGAAATGATGATTACTGCTATGGATAAGTAAACACTTGAATCTGGCTAAGATTATTCAATAGAAAACCCCGTATTGTTGTAGGGCTCTAATTTAAAAGGAGATTCTTTAAGTTTTCAGTTACACGTGGTGTGCATAGAACGACTAAGTCATTTCAGGGGTGGTTGGACAAACACTAGTTTTGTTATTTTTACTCTTTTTTTTACTAAAAACATACTCATAAGTTCCCGCAACATCGGGGTGACTTTCAAGATCGAAAACGTCAGCGAACGTTTCTTACAGTTGATTTTAACATACCAAAACAATGAACTTAGAAAATATCATGGGACTCTGAGTCATTCATTGTATAGTGAATATTGAAAACGATATTCCCTTTATTGGAACAAATAAGAAATTAATTATTTTCTTGCAGGCGAATATCACGGTTACACAGTTAAAACTGCTTCGAGTGTTTGATCTTTGTAGTAATATTCACTATAGTGCGTTCAAACAGCCGTGGCACCTGAGGGATTAGGAGGCCCCAAGGGTTTCCATAGGGTGTCCTAATCCGTCAGGTGCCACGGCTGTTTGAACGAAGTATAGTCAGTAATATTTGCACCCCTTAATATGTGAAAGTCTATAGTGAAATCTTGTTACTCGACAATTTGTGGACCCAGACACGAGTTGTCCAGAACATTTAAGTTTGAAAATGGGTTTTTTATATAAAATAATACACAATAATTTTACATATACATTTATTTCTTACATGGGTGTTTAAATATTGAGTAAACAATCTGCAAATAAATGTCGAATATTCAACAATAATTAAACCTAATTACCATTAAAAAATTGCTTGCAAAGTCAAACGCACTCAAAACAAAGCCTAAACGTGTGCCCTGTCAGGTTTTTGACTGTCGACCGGGTGTCTTGGATCAACAGAGTTTTTAAAATTCATAATGACGTTAGTTCTGAAATGTTACTACTAAATTGGAACGTGTCTTGTGTTTCAAACTGCACAACGTTTCTGGAGGTGGATCAACTCTTTCCGTAAGTCAAAATTACTACTACATTAGATCCACCAAGTTAGTGAGTTTTACTACCTATTAATGTAACTTTCAGTTCATAAAGATTGGTACTGGATTTGAAATCAAGTATAAACATAATAACCTTTTTTCACAGACTTGGCCTGTCCAAGAAGGCAAGAGAGCCTCTCAAACCGATCTACATTCCGACCGACCTCACTGACGTACCCGACAAACAGCTGATCGCTTACAACCGCGCGTTGTACAACCAGAGGAGGCTGATCCAGAACCGAATGACGCGATACGTAGTCTACAAAATACTCACCGTGATCCTCCTACAATTCTTCGGCTCTGTTCACGCAGTCAAGGCTTTTGGAGCCACCTTCTATTGGGTCAACAATGGCTGGAGGTAGGTTGTTTTTTGTTTAACATTTCTACTTGTAGGTAACAAATACGTAGGTTCTATTTGTAGGGAACAAATACGTACCATCAACGTACCAACCGCTCTGAGCAAAACCAAAATCGTGAATCTCACCAAAAGGTGAAATAGCAATATTTTATGCCTCTGAGATTGGAGGATGTCGAAGTCCAGACTATTCGTGCCAAGTACTTTTCTATCATGGTTGTCAGTAAGCTTAGCTTGCCGAGCCAGATTTCCGTAAGCGGATAAGGCCACTAAGGTTTTTTCCTTAGCCGGTATGGACAATGTTGGAGGTCTTCGGTCCAGTCCGTACACCTGTACGGTGCTGAAGTGTGGGCAGACGCGTTAAATAAGGGTTTGTATAGGTGCGGCATCAGGCAGCACTCAGAGTAGCATGATCGGAACACTTACACAATTACAAAATTCCTTGTGGCAGCCAACCTAAACTCACCAAACCTATTGTTATCTAAATGGGTAAAAAATCTAACATGTTGAAGGGATTATTACAGTGGAGATAAATAAATAAATAAAATTGCCTTTATTCATCCGATTAGGGAAATGGGAATACGCTTAGTCTTCAGGTTTGCTGCGATGGTATTTAAAAAGTTATTTATTTTTTGTTTCAACTGTGGGTAATTCAATTCTGTACTTTATATTCAGCCTTTTTGGTCTTAGCTTGTGAGGTTTCATATTTGGATGCTTCGATGAAGTACTGTTTGTATAAGTGTAGCATATAAGAAGCATTGACTTATATTGTGCCAATTTCGTGCCAAGTATTTATAAGCGGCTACTCCAAGTGAGTTGCATGTTGAAACATAGGATTTGTATGTTTTTAAAACGTAATTAATCAGCCCCAACGTTCTTACAGGTTTACTATCAACGGAGACATGGCGGTTCATCAAAGACAGCTGAACGAGTATATCATAGAATACGCCCGAGTAAAAAATATAGACCTGACGAAAACGGAAACTAACTGGCGCTCGAACACTAGGGTCATCAAGTTGTACGTGGACGAAGCAAAGACACACGGAGTCCTGTTCCCGTTCTACATCACGAAAAAACGAATCCCAATTCCAGATGCGGCGGACATAAGATACTGGATTCCGTTTGCGAGAAACTGGTTGTTAAAATAATTACACCGTATTGTCAGAGAAATAAAATCTATCTACCTTGTTCACATCTTGTGAAGAACTAATTGTTTTGTTTTGTTCTCCAATTGCGTTTTTTTACTATGTACATTCTGTGTTCGCTATCTTAACATTCAAGGATTGTGTTAAGAATCGGCAGGACCCTCGGCCATCTTGGGTTTTTTGCCCATGACAGCAATGTTAATGGTTGAAGCATATTATTACGGCACACACACACACACACACACACACATTTGCATAGTTACGATTGTTTATTAAGGTAAACTGTTGAATAATGCCTTTTTTTAACTATTGAAACCGTGGATGTGATGTGATAATGAAATAAATACAAAATAAACTCCAACATTACAATATTTTGACACAAAATATTCTTACACTTCAGGTAATCTACTATTTTTGAAATAGATCTTCCAATTATTATTATTTTTTTAAATGATAGCACCCACAATGTTAGGAACCTAATGACAAAGCGTGTAGACTGTTTGAGAAATTAAAGGATAGAAAATACGTCAGAGCGACGGCAACAAACAATACTAAAAAGAGTTTTATTGTGTATTGTGAGAGTGCGGCTGTATTGTATGAGGCGGGTTTGTATTGTACACAATGTGATCGTTGTGGACATTAAGAGGACGGGCGAGTGATGATCTCATATTGTAGAATGACCAACTTTACTCTACTGTTGTGGCAGTGGATTTGTTTCTTTTCTCTTCCACTCCACGTGTGTGGATTATTCATGTGGATTGTTTATGATAACTTTATGTTCTAAAAGAGTAATTATAGTGTTTCTAGCATTAGGTTGCTGTGGATTTTTCATGGTTAGGAACTGGCCAGATGTATTTTATCGTTAGACTTTGAAACTAGGTAATCCTGACTAAAGAAAGGGCACATCTTAGTGAGCAATAAAGGTACATAATAGACTCTCAATACTTCTATTTTATATTTATATTTTGTTCATATTAAGCCTAAACTAAAGTCTAAGTACCCCCCCTGCAGCAAACCAGCAGACTAAGAAAATTTCGATATACCTGATTTTATTTTTACATAAATCTATTTAAACAACTTAAGGTTTAATAAGTACCTAGGTTTGCTGCTACAGGAAGGGTAATAAAACGTGTTTTAGTAAAATATTAAAAGCTTAGTATAAAATAAATAAATTTGCCAATTTTAATCAAAATAATATAGTTTACTTATTCTCTATAAACAAATTTTGAAAAGTTGAAATTGCCTCAGCTTTTGGCTTTGTGTTCTGGATGACCCTTTTTGGAGGGCTTTCCGACACGATCTCCTGCATTTCTTAGAAAGGTGCACCCTTTCCTCGGATAGGGACATCACCTTCTCCGCAGTTTTCTCCGTAGCCCAATTACTCATCAGCCAGTAGGTAAAAACAAAACTGAGGTCATCCTTGAGTTTGGCCGTTTGGCCATGCCATTTTCGAGGTGTACAGCTTTCTGTGTTCGGAGGGTGTTCAACACTGAAACCTCCGCCGCCACTTCTGACTGCTTGCCAAGCAAGCCCTCCATACTTCCTGAGGTTAGAGTATCCTTAAAAATGTTTGCCAGTGCCTTGTACGGCAATGGACGGGCTGGAATAACCAGGATCCAGCTCTCCGGGACATAACCTCTACCCCAGTTCTTGGGAGACCAGCCTCCATTTGTCTGTAGTACCAGAAATCCTGACACACGAGGGGTCCCCTTCATAGTTCAGAGCCCGACCTCTGCACCCTTGTACTGTCTGACTAGGGCCTGAGGAGTTTGGTCCCTTTAAGGAGTCCTATCTGCAGTTCGAGACACCAAATCAATCCCTTTGCAGAAGAAGGGCACTCTTAATTCTCAATAGTGGGTGCTGCTGGAAACCGCAAGGAAAAAGGCATAAAGTTTCATAATCCACAAAGACAAAATTAAACTTACTAGCCTAATAAGTCTGATGGAACAGGTAATAAATAAAATTCTGTTAATGATAATAATCTCTTTCTAGGATTTGCATTTGATACATCTTTTACACTAAATATAATACATAAAGTCTCATTGTTTGGAACACCTGTACATTATTATCTAATAATACTTTAGTAGCTTAACCTAAATTTGAGGGATACGTTTACAAAAAAATATGAAGATTTGGTTAAGTTTGAGGTAAATAATACACCAGTTTTTCTGATTCACCAGATCTCAAAACATAATTTGAACTCTCTTGGCAGTTTCAAAAAACTCTTAGTGGAACTTAAAATTCGTAAATATATATATATAAAGTCTATATTTACTAAAAAGTGTTAAACTTAAGCGAGTAAGTTCAATAAAAAAAATTATAGCACCTTGTGGATTTTCTGTACCGTGAAAATAAAACCTCAGCTGAAATAAAATATGATTGAGGTAAGGATAAATTTAATTATTGTGTCTCATAAAACTAGATCTACACATCATTATATACCACTTCTGATACCCACGTTGTGTTTTATAAGAAGTTTTTCATATTTGGTAAACTATCAAAAATCAAATACATTGTAAACTCAACAACTCACTTTTGCAGAGTACCGTGTTATATAGCCTCTGAAAATGTTTGAAAAACTTTCTAGAAACAAATTAAGTTCCGATAACTTAAAATTAAATTATACTACATGATTTCATGGTTAAATTCTAAATTGCTTCAATATTCAAAAACTGTATCAAAGTGTTTCAAAACTATGTTATCTCTTAAATCATTTTCAGACTATAGAAGTTTCTCAGATTTTATTAAAGGTTCCTTGGCAGTGGTATTACCTTGATTGAAGTTTGTTTTTTGTAATGAGAATGTTTATACATATTTATATTTATAACATGCATTGAAGCGATTGAAGTGACAAAAATACTCTGAGGTTTAATAACTACAAAATGCTTTTGTATTAACCTTGAGAAAGGTCATAAGACTTAAGGGATGAATCAGTAAAAAAAAATATTTTGAATGGTAAAGTGTAAATAGTTGTAGTTTTATAACATTATTAGCCACTAACCATCCATTTATCTACCAAAAGTATTTAAAAAACTCCCAGTACAGAATGTTACAGAGAAGTACAGTATAATTCATCATTAAGGTCAAGTTTTTTTTCAGCAAGAGATTAAGAAAAATGTGAGCATAAAAAAGACAAAGTTGGGTTTGTGATTGTTAAACTAATCTGCAAAATAGTGTTACCACAAATGTCTCATTCTGTCTGATACAAATATATTTTACATAACACATCTCAAAATAATGTTGATTATAAAAATAATTGAACAAATTAGTTGTTTTTAAGTTGGCTGTACACTATCATCCACAAATTATTTACAAAATAAGTATTGCTTATTATAAAAATAAAACAAAAATTATAAAACTTAAAATACTATCACAAAACTCTTTGGTCTATTAAATTACACCAAGCTGTTCAAATATCTAAGAAATATATTTAAAACTTACTATCCTAGTGTAATATTTTATTTGTGCAGTTTTATTTTGCGCCATTTAGTAAAACACAGTGAAACGTCAACAATCCAGATTCATTGAGAATCTAATGGATGAATTAAAATCTGTTCATAATTATATAAACTCTATAAATATGAAGAGAGCACTTTTCAAAGACGGTTTTATGACTCCTTGCATTGCAATCAAGGTAAATTATGTAATTTTAATATTTTGTAAATCTCTAATCGTAATTTAATTACTTTTTTCCAATTTTATTGTAAATCTTTGAGGTGCACAAAATTTAAATAAATAAATATATATTCTATTCAGATGGTTGAGGCAGTAAAAAAAACCATATAAATTTAATTTACACTCTCACATTATACCATGTTTTATCCAAAGATAAATCTCCTAAAATTTATCCGACTACATTCCAGGATCAGTAAAGATATAGAGGCTTCATAAAATATGTTCTGTGTGGCACAGATTAGACCGGAAGACTACACACATTAGCACCAAAGTGGATAAAAATATTTTGTAGCGAAGAAAACATGTTAGGAAATTAATTTTTTAACATCTTAAAACACTTTGAGATATAAGTTGGCACGATAAGGAAGCAGAATCTCTAAAAAAGGTGCCAACTTTGAGTTAAAACCAACTTAAAAGTTAACTTATGGGCTAAACCCTAGAAAAGTAAGGTACTGAGGAAACTTATTTATTTACTTGTAAAGGTACAAAGTAGGGACTGTGCGCTTTTAGCTCTATAGTCCTCGCCACCCTAAGTTGAGGCAGCCCAAGGCCGCACGGCGTATATCTACTGCGGCCTTTGGCTGCCTCAACTTAGGGTGGCGAGGACTATAGTATGTTGTGCGGGAAATGTACCTAATTGTGACGAGCAAAGAAGAGCCTAAGTGGCAAGTCTTGTGCGCAATTCCTATCGCACAGGACACATCAGGGTCTTCCTACAGTAAAAGTCTCGTAGTACATGAGGGGGGCTGTGATGATCTTTGCTCTAGACACCAGTTACTAGTGCTGGACACCACTTAAATGCACCATTGAATGTTTCCTCTGTAACCTACTTTTCTATGTTTGAACATATTTTTAAAACTAAATCCTTTACAAAACATTTAATTTATCAAACAAATTATTCTTAAAATGTAAAATCAATGCCAATCCGTGTGTTAAGTAAAAAAAAACATAATTGTGTTCAAACGTTAATCTAAAGGTTAACCAAATTAATAACATTTGTGAATACTTTTATCATTTGTTTTTTTGCAAACTAAGAATTTGAATGGTTTTTTCACATCCCCTCTAGGCGTGCAACATAAAACAACAAATATATTGATTTTTAGTTTCAATAATAATCTAATAAGGTAAGAAAAAGAGAGAACATTAAAATTATTGCAACGTCAAAAACAGGTTCATGTACACTTATACAACTAATGTACACAATTTCTACTCTCTACACATTTATCTACATCTATTTACATCATCAAAATAGTCACAGCAAAAATGTAACACACTTTTATAAATCATTAAAATGGGATTATTAAAAAATGCTTCTGGATCAATTGGCAGGAAAATATTGTGTTGTTTCTAACTAATAACTAAATTCAAATAAGCCCCTAAATTTTGGCTAAAAGTAATTAGAGAAAATTGCATTAAATTTAACCTGGCTAGTTTCAATTCTGTGTGATTTAATTCCGCGAGGTGGTGCTATCGCTCTATTACATAACATTCCACGTTCCGGCATACCTCATGCGTATCATAGAGGATTATCTCCGGTTCCCCCTCCTCATGTATGAAACTACAGAGGGCCCACGGACGATTAGTGTCACTTCCGGTGCTGCCCGAGGTTCCATACCCGCCCCAGACCTCTGGAATGTCACTTATGACAGCCTCCTGAGGTCTGAAATGCCTGAGGAAACTGTTTTAGTTGGGTACGCAGACGACGTTGCAGTTTTGATAGCGTTGAGCTGGCTCAGCTAAAGCTGAACCGAGTTATGCGTACCATAAACGCAAGGATGACAGACCACGGTCTCTCGCTTGCTTTGAGCAAAACTGAGATCGTGATATTACCCTTTGGGGTTATGGTGGACAGCAAGCTTAGCTGGCGGGATCAGATTTTCTGTACGGCGCACAAGGCCGCTAGGGTTGTCTCCTCTCTTAGCCGGTTGATGGCCAATGTCGGAGGTCCTCGGTCCAGCCCCAGTCCGTACTCTTGTACGGTGCTGAGGTGTGGGCAGACGCTCTCAATAAGGAGGTATATAGGATGCGGCTATCCTGAATGCAGCGTCAGGCAGCACCAGCGTCAGTGTCACCTGATTGCATATACTGCCCAGACATTCCCGATGATGTGGAACATACCTTTTTCCACTGCCAGCATTGGGAAAGGCCCCGCCTGGAGGCTCATCAGTTAGTAGGTCTGCTGTCGGTGGACACGGTCATACCGATGATGACAGAGGGTGAGGACAATTGGACCTGTGTGTCACATTACATTCAGGGTATTCTCCGCGCCAAGAAGCTCGACCTTGACCGGGATGCGGTGTAGGTCATAAAGAATCTAAATGTCAGAAACGGTGCGAGCCCTGAGGGTTTAGGTCACATGTTGGCCTGACTTGAAGTAGTAATGTGACAAACAATTCCAGGTCTGTGTCCAACAGAATAGAGGGGGTTTTTTAGTGAGTAGTCGGATGATTTCAGGAGTCTCACACTACAGGCTGGCTACCTGTGTGCGTAAAAGCATTTTCCCTCCTCTCCCTTAAAAAAAAAAAAATTCTGTGTGATTTATCAAGACAAGAAGTTTTATTGAGCTGTGTTCAATAAAACGGATCTAGACAAATTATTCATTTAGTTTTTAACCTATCATTTAAAATTTACAAACTCAAATTTAATCAACTGAACACACATACGAAAACACTGTTAAGGGTACTAACAAAAGTGTGTTACTTATTGTATACTCTGTGTGACATATAATCTACAACATTTACTACAAGTAAAAAATAGCGAGCTTCAGGTAGCATTTTGGCGCTTGACTTCCCAGTCCAACAAATAATCTTGTCTTTCCTCTTATCAAATCCAGACAAACTAAAATTACTGTAAAGTTTAATTAAATAATTTGTTTCGGTTGAGAAATGGTACAGTAAAACTAAAATTTCAAACCAAATGAAAGGGGAGAATAGATACATGTTGGGGAACACCGATCAAATATTAAAATCTTAGCTGAAAAACTCAAGACAAGTTAGAGAACCAGTTTGTGAAATAACTGCACAGACAAAAGTTGAAAATAAGAAGGGAAATTTGTTAACATTCAACATCTCTTCAACTCATTACCATTTGGCACTGACAACACGATACATATCCTTCTGAAGGGAATATTCATCTATAAAATATAACACTTTACCTAACTTGTCCTAAAATACCTCGAGTGGTAGGCACAGATCTATAAAACCTATAACTATCAGAAGTCTCTTTAAGAGTCACCCATCACTATAACCTTTAAAAATATTTGTAATAAAAACTATGAAAACTCTAAACCAAGCTGAATTCACAATTCAGGCTCCACTAGGTGGAAACGGTAAAACTATATCACTAACGGAATAAAAGCGTAATCAATAATAATTTTTTCAGCGATAATCAGCCATTTTGAGTTTGACTCAAAACTATATAGACTTAACGGAATGTTTGTAATCATAAACCTTGAGCTGCGTTCCTGATGGTTCTTACTGGTTGACGAAAGAGCTGTTTTTGGACAGAAGACGAGCACTGCTCTCTGAGGAGGCGAGGGACGCTGCCGGAGCTTTTTTCCTGTTCTTCGGCTGCGACCCGCTCGCTCCGGTCTTTGCCTGCTATGGGTTCAAGAAGGAGCTATTCTTAGACAGCAAACCAGCGCTTGATTCAGACATCTGAAGCGCTGAGGACTTGGCGCTCGCTGAAACCCTGGCTCGGGACTTGAAGTTGGGAGTGAGACCGAGAACTAAGTTCTGTAATCACAAAATGAAGTTAGCAATTTTATACTCCGAGCGGCTGTTATAAAGCGGAACGATATATCAAATCTTAAAGGGTAAGTATTAAAAGTATCAGTTACAACCCACCTCCTTGAAAGTTCCCGGAGTTGTGATAAGATAGTAGATGGCGTATCCTGGAATCCACAGCATGGATGACAGACTGAGGCCAATACCAATCAATTCTGCCCAGTCCGGGTAAACGTATGGACCGTACTTGGCAGGTACGTACATCACTATGTAGAATATGAAGATAGACTGCAACATGTTCGGAGTTTAATATCAGATTATTTTACAGACACAATTAGCCAGCAGCATTACTAGATTTACATAATAATAATCACATAAGATATCCCCTGTTACTTCATATCAGAGTACTTTAAAATTTAACGGCTATTAGGTATACAAGTGTGAAAAAGATAGGTTAGTATATTCATATTTGCTAATCCAACTTCCATTTAGGGATACAAAATTCTGTTATTCAGCTGTTCATGGGTGTAAATTATTTTATTTTTATGAATGAAAGATTTGAGTATGAAACAAGTATGAATAAAAGGTTAGCATAGAAATCAAACATAAATTGGAAATAAGAGTGGGTTGGATCAAGGCCACACTAAATTAACAGGCCGTAATGCTCCTCTGGCATGAGATCATCATAGGCGACGGCAATGACCTAATGTTTGCCGTTTGTGATCAGGTGCTTGTTTTAAACTTTTCTTGGAAACAAAAAAAAAATACATTACGTCATTGCCGTTGCCTACGATGATGTCATGCCTGAGGAGCATTACAGCCTGTTTATTTAGTGTGGCCTTGGTTGGGTCCATGAGTTTGATGCAGAAGTAGACAACCAATATACGTTGTAAACACTTGTTCTAATAAAAAGGGAACATAGTTCAATTAACCTTTCATGGAGTGTGCTACTGTATGGAAGCTCTATTTTCTATTTATTTCTACGATAGTCAGATGGGGATATTTATTCATTAATAAATCTAGTCGACTTCACAACCAAGCCAAATTGAAAGGACAACTTATTGCACGTTATATAGTCTTTTATGTTACCAAAAAACACAGTAACAACTTGTGGAGGAGATAGAATTTGACTATTGATTTGAACTAGATATTTCATCCCCATGTTAAAGTTGCCACCAGTTTTTACAATAATAATGGACTTAGTTGAATTAAGCTATGACATATTTCCCTGATATAAATTACTGATTTCTGTCAAATTTACAGATTCTGTAAAGAAGTCAAATCCACGGGACAGCTTATTGTAATAGCATCTTTTATCCCCCTATAACTACCAGTAACAAAATATAAGGTAGAAAATAGAATTGTATACACTAGCACATTCTGTGACTGGCTCACAGAACTATCTTCTTCTTTAATAAAAAAAATGGTAAGTCACACTCACCACCATCGTGGCTGGGGCGAAGAACACCCAGCAGAAGTACCAGAACCTGTTGGGCCTCACACCCATCATTTGGTGAACACAGTCTATGAACTTGCCGGCTCCAAATATCCAGGAAATGGCGATGGTCTGGAAGAAACAAACCCACAGGAGACACATCCCGGAAGCAGAGTAGTAATCCATCAGCTGGAATATGTACGCTCCGCCCTGCAGAAATAAGAGTCACATAAGGATCACACAGTTGGTGTATAGAAAAGTTAATCAAAATCACTTAGGAGCGTTAAATCTTTTCTGTCCTAGGCGCTAGGCTCTATCCAGGGATAGTTTTTTACATAACTCTGTCTAGAGGTTTTATCATATTACTTAGAGTAAATTCATTAGTGATTTGCCAGTTTTTGAACCTCGGTCCCTCCCGCGCTCTACCACTATATCAGCTTGTTCTCCTAAGGTTATGTAAATTAATATGAGGTTGCTTTGGGAATAATCTATTATACAGGGCGTTTATAAAAGAATCATCAGGTTTTAAAACATTTTATTGACGTTAGTGTTAAACAAATTCGGATATAAAATATATCAACAGAAAAGATAACTCTTAAACTTTTTATAGATACTCCTATAAGTGTTCAATGTGCCACCCATTAGCCATGGAGCAAGTTTCAAATCTATGCTGTAAATTGTCTCATACATCGGCCAACATCCCAAGGTTGATTGATTCTACGGCATTGCAAATGCGTCCATGGAACTCTTGAAGTCTTTGAGGCATTGGCGGTATATAAACTTTGTCTTTTACATAGTCCCATGGGGAAAAAATCACACACCGAAAGATCAGGTGATCTGGGAAGCCATTTGAGAAGGGTCAAGTCTTATCGTTACATCTGCCAATCCACCTCAGTTTCTAAGAGAACTCTTGCGCGACCCCTAGAGTATGCTACCGACTGAGCCACCGAGAGGCTATTTATTGAGTAAGGAGTTAAGGAAAGGCCAATTGGCTGATTAGGATTATTATGTACAGGATTATTATGTAGGATTATAATAATCCTATTTTCTGAGTATGATAAGTTATAGCTGAATGCCAAGAATGACAGCCAAAATTGCCCAACAGCTTATTTTAAGTAAAAAAATCTCTTCAGTCAGATATAGGGTAGTTTGATTACTTCATTTACTGGATCAGAGGTATTTCACTACAATTTGCTCAAAATGTGGCTTTCTAGTTGCTTGGTTTTACTCTAGACTTTAGAGGACAATATTGGAACTAAAATCTTATACAACCTTCAACAACAATCTTTAAAATCTAATTTTAAATCAATATTTTTATATTTCATCATGGAGCAACAGCTACACAGAACAAGAGGTAGCACTGATGTGAAGTATCTACACCTGGCCAAATACCTGAGTGACCATAGGTATGCCCAGCAGACACAGCAGCACACATACGGCCATAGTGAACTTGGCCCGATGTGGCCGGAGAGTTTCTGGCCAGTTGTCAACCATGCCCGTGATGAAAGACTCTACGATGCAGAACTCACTGTCTATACCCAAAATCTGCAATACATCGAGGTTAATATATGAGTTAATTTAGAACACTTTAATTGTGAGTTTTAGGACTAATATTTTGGATGCCAAAGTAGACATCATATCTACGTGGGAAAACTGTAGCAAATTTTGTTCAAGAATTTTCTCTAGGCCGGGATTTTGAATTTTGGAATAAAGAGGAGGAGCAAATGCTTCTGAGAAAAAATACAGGTAGGCCATAGAAGACACAAAAAAGTATTTTGTCCCCAGGGGGAACTTTTTCAAGTGTTGTGGCTCACAAAATGTTGTGAAAAATTTTAATTTTAAGACCAGCGGTTATCTAGTGAAAAATGTAGCTTTAGGTAAGGTCTTAGTCAGTTACCAAATCGAATTATTAACGTATACTCACCACCAGCATTGAGAAGAATATGGCAGCCCATGCCGGGGCTCCAGGCAACTTAAGCACCACTTCTGGGTATGTGAGGAACACCAGACCAGGTCCACTTTTTACCACCTGCAGGGAAATATGGGAATTAAAACTCAGTCAAGGGGCATGGGAATTAAAACTTAGTCAAAGAATTCTTATTAAATGAAAAATTACATTGTATTGAATTTAAGCCTCCTCCTAGCATTTTAATAATATAAATTTGTGTAAAATACCTTCATCTATGCCATCTGATGCATTGTGATATTGCAACTAGTTTTAACTCAAATACGAGTCATCCTCAGGCCAGTACTAAGATATGTTTTCGTGCTTCATTTGTAGTATGGCAATCAATAAGTAGATCTTCGATAACAAGTTTTTCATGGGGATTATTAAATAAGACTTGTTATCAAGGTTGACATGGTTGACAATAACATGTGATCAGGGGTCAAATAAATCAAGGGTATTTGAAAATGACACTTGTTATCAAGAGTGATTTGTTACCAAGAGTTTTGGTATCGAAGTTTCACTGTAAATAAGACACGCACAGTCACGGACATAAAACACGGACATTTAGGTAACAAAAAACAAAAGATAACACTAGGAATGTTGCGGGACCCGAAGTGATTAGGCAAAAGTTGTGTTGCAAATAAACATTATTCAATTGACTTAGTTGAAAGCAAACTGAGATAGTGATTGTAAAATGTGTAAATACTATTCAATAATACTTTTTACTCTCGAAACAATTTCTTGCTTAAGGCTTGCGGTTAATCGGATTGCTTACCTCGGATACGTGAGTGCCTTGCTCCAGAGCGATGTTGCCCAGAATGGAGAAAGTGACACATCCAGCCAATAAACAAGTCAACGTGTTAACAATGCAGGTTATAATGGCATCCCTGAAACACCATAAGTGTTACGTTAGTTGGAAAAATACAGAATCCACTTATTTAACCTTAAGAGCTATAAAGAAACATAAATAGTTGACTTACCTTCCACCGCTGTATTTTGTATCATAAGTGTTTGGTAAAATAGTAACTATTGCTTAAGTTTCAGTTTTTTTATTTTTTTTTTTATTTTAAAAACTTAGTTTAAAACTTCTATCAAACTCTGCCATAGAGATTTTCAAGCGTGACCTGTTAACCTGGGATAAGTACCGTAATCAACTTTTGCGTTGTGAAAACAGCTGTAGTGACAATCAGCCAATAACAAATCAATCTGAAAATAACCCAGGTTTACACCTCTATTATAATATCATAAAAACTGTCCCAAGGTTATGCACGCCTTGCAAAGCTTTTCCCTTTAATCAATAGGAAATCTACTCTGAAGCCAGCTTGTACAGTTCTAATCTACAAATCAATAATTCGGCCCTTGATTACATATGCATCTCCTATCTGGGGATTAGCTATATCAAAAAACAAACTCTTCAAAATTCAAGTGATTCAAAACAAAATTCTAAGAATAGCGGTGAATGCTCCCTGGTTTGCTAGAAACAGGCATATACATGAAGAACTAGGAGTGGAGACTATCTCGGCCTTTATTGAAAAAACCACCTCAAAATTTCTAAAATCTTTAAACGATGTTCCTGGTGCATTAACTTTTCATCTTGGTGAAGCAACTGAGAACAGGAGGCTACGTCGAAGGCTCCCTCAAGATCTATTGGATGAATAAAGCCTAAAGACGATTAAATTATTCTCTAAATTAATTATGTTACAGGGTGTACCAGGTTTGGGCGAACCCACGATGTTATTATAGTTAATTTCTTTTTAATTTTGTTAACACTTCTGTGTATAATGTCTACATTGAACCAGAAATAAATGCTGTAAAAAAAAAAAAAAAATAATATCATGTTTACTACATTAGAGCAGAAATAACAGATGACCATTACTATAAATATGAGAATGTATGTGTCTAATAATAGTATATATCATCACTATTAAAGTGAACTACTACTATACTATAATAGTGCTACTAACTATAATCGGGCTATACACGGGAGTAAAAGTGACTCTTTTTTACCCGAGCTCAAGTTTTACAATCGAGGCGAGGACGAGGTCGGAAAGTAAGCGAGGGTAGAAAGGTCACTTTTTGCCCGTGTGATTAAGTATATTTTTTGTCATATTATATTATTATTTTAGCAAACTAAGCTAGGAAACAAAAATACCCTACTTTTCATGAACTGATGTTTTACGTACATTTCTACTTTGAATTACTGTGAAATATACAAACTTGTAGCAATTATGATGGAACTTGTTGTAAGAGCCAAGGGCCGGGAGAGCGCCAGTGCCGATGCTGTAGGCGAAGAATATCTGAGTGGCTCCGTCAATCCAAGGCCCAGGACCGAGTAGTTCCTCCCAGCGAGGTGTTATGTAGTAAAGTAGCCCATCCCCGGCACCAGGCAAAGTCACCCCTCTCACTAGGAGCACTAGGAGAACTACATATGGGAACAGTGCCGTGAACCAGATGATCTGTCACAAAAAATGGATTGATTAGTGGGTAAGTGAAGAATTTGAACTGCTATTGATTTGAAGATATTTTTTTTCAAGATGGTGTAGAGTGAAGAAGGAAATAAAAAAGTGTATGATTCTGGAGTTATAAAGATAACCAGAGAACAACAAAATATTTTTCATCACTTTGTATTCGAAAATAGCCCGTTTCCTTACAGCTGAGATCTTCGAAAATCGTCAATTTCCATGAACCAAAAACAAATAGTAATCAGCTGACTTTTCTTGACATAAACACTACTTTCGCTACACAAAAAATACTTTGCCTGACACCAACGAAGTTACAACTGAATTTCCCGGTTAGTGGAGAAGTGATGAAGTAGTTTTTAATCGTGATAAAAATTATTGTTCAGTACTGCTCACGAAAGTCCCATTTGGATAATTACCAACACACCAGAGGACATACTGGAAACCCTGTCTACCCACCAAGACTCTTCGAGAGAACTGCATCTGAAATCCATGTTTCCCATGTTCATCTTCAACTCTCATGTAAAACACTATCTCGCCCCAAAATGAGTCACTTTCATGACTAGTAGTGAAGTATATTGTAATGACATGTATTAACTAGAATTTAAAATACTAACTGTAAAATCTAACTAAGGCAATTTTCCACAAAATTGAAGATCATAAGTATAATTTCAACCAAGAAGAGCTAGAGAGTCCTAAAACATTTGATACTTGAAAACACAGGTTATAAACATGCTTGTGGTGTAAATAATGTGTTTAACACTCTTTTGTTTGGTTAGTTTGTAATGTTTATTTATATCAATTCGTTACAGTAATAAAATTTTGCCCAGATGTGCATACATCTTTAAAGTGAAATAAATTTATGTCTATAACAGTACGTTCCCTCGTTGTGTGTCATATTTTCATTTTCAATAGAAAACCAGAACACTTTGAAAATGTTAAATTAGTTAAATTTTTTTAAAACATCAACCTTTTACCTTTCCACTCTGATGTAGGCCTCGGCAGATGATGAGATAGATCAAGACCCAGCCTAGCAGCAGACTCCCTAGTAACTCCCACTGCATTCCCCCCAGCTGGTCTATCCCGGGGGAGATTTGTAGCACCCGCTTGCTGGAACATTACACTACCATGTAAAATCTTGGCCATTATCTACAAAAACTAAAAAAAAAAAACATACATGCAAAGGCTGAATAAGTGAATAGTGATTCAGTGTAAAATGGTGTGATGGCCAAGATCAGGTGTTTCGTTTGTCAAGAAAACTTATTGCACAGAGTAAGGTACAGAGAAAACTCGATTATTGGACAACTCTGTGCGCCTCATATCTTATCTTTTAATCTGCTGAAGATAATGCTAGGTTATGTTTCTATCAATGTTTGGTCAATGGCAAAAACTCAAACTTACAACACACAAATTTTGCATTGTTTGGAAGACTATATGAAATATGCTGTAAATTATTGGTAATTTTGAGGGGAATGTTCGGTAATGAATACTTAATCTTTAGTCTATCTATAGGTAGTGTCCTATCTATAGGTAAGGTAGTGTGTGTGTATAGGTAGAGTGTGAACTATAGATATAGTTAACCCTGATGTCCATTATATCAACACATTCTAAGTGATGATGTATGCTACTTACTCCCAATACTCTTCCACGGGCGTAGTTGTGTGGTTGGTACGGTTATGGATCAACGTTGCGTTCATACCAGGAGCAAAACAAGTCTCGGTATTCCACCAATTATCTGTAACAAATAATTGAGATTTTTGACCAAGTATGACTTCTATGTCAATGACTTTATTTAATTCCTTCCTTGGTTCAGAGGACAGAGTTTTATAACTAAGGACAGAGTTCTCATGTAAATTGCAGTTGCAGTTGGTTATGGGTTAGAGCTATATATAATGTAAACAAAAGGCGGCAATTGACCACTATTCGTTCACACTCCGATATGCCTGATGCTGCAGTAGCTCCCAAGGCTGGAATGGAATACAGTGGGACTTAGGGAAAAACACAGTGGAAAAACACAGGTTATATACTTGCTGGTGGCTTGTAACCAAGCTTAAGGCCGGTATCCACAGTGCGAGGCAGCTTGCTGCGAAAATGCCTCGTTGCGAATGCTCGGCTTTGCCTCAGACTGTGGATACCGGGATTGCTCGCTGTGAGCACCTGTGAGGCGCTCACGTCGCACAATGTGAGGCGAGCCGTGTACTTGTCGGTCTCAGAGCAGTGCTCAAAGAAAGGTGCCTCGCTCCGAGCTGTGCGTAATCATGGATAGTCATGACATGATAAGAGATTTAGTAAAGTGTTATGGAAAAGCAAAGCTGGTAGTTTGCGTGCTTGCAGTGAGCATTCGTGTTTACAAACTAGCTGCCAGCTTTAAGAGCTCACCCTGAGGCAGATGGCACGAGGCATTCGCAGCGAGCAGCCTCGCACTGTGGACACCAGCCTTTACCTAGTAATATTCCCAGTTTCAAGAACAATTAACTACCATAATGTAAGTTTACCTTGAGGTTGACAGGTTCCTGAATAAACTCGATGTAAATTTCACCACTTGTATGTCATCATCAGGAGTTCAAATATTTACATTACTGTTTACCATACCGATTGAACAGCAACAGCCAGATAGTGGCAAAGGTAAAAACGTCTGCGTTCCCAGGCTTCTACTCTGCCACCGACCGAATGTAAATAAATACTGTAATTCAGTGTGAACAATAATGTAAATATATGAACTGAGCTCCTGATGATGCCACAAAAGTTTTAAAGCATCGAACATCGTAATCACAATCCTGCATCCCTAAGGAAAACTTTTTGTTTTTATTGGAACAGAATCCAAGAAATGGTACTATGGCAATCTGCTACTTCGATGTTGTAAATTAAGACCATTAACTTTTGTATAGCGAAGTAGACATAGCCTCTAAATAGAACAACTGTACCTAGCCTGTAGTTAATTGGCATATTAGATAAAAATCTGTAATCACATTACTTCACACTGTTAACACTCAATTCATCTATGTCTAGTTTAGTATTAGAAACTGGAGACAACTTTAACATGGGATAGGTTCCATCAAATGTAAGACTCAGTAGACATCAATAGAGACATTGACTATTGGATACTGAAGTATACTGTGGTATTTTTAGTCAAAGATAGATAGAGGTAAAACCTTTGACCTTCAGTATCCAATAGTCAATTGTATAACTCACCGCAATGCTCCCAAGGAAGTCCAGGTAGAGATGTGAACGAAGCGATCAGGTAGAACAAAGTCCAAGAAATTATGATGCAGTAATAGATGTCTAGGAAGAATACTATTGTCATTGTAGCGTAGCCAACTCCTACAAACACGATGTAAACCTTAGTCAATAAAATAATAGTTAATCAATAGTTATAAAACTGTAGTAGGTCTATACAAATATTTGGTTTTGCGAGTTTTACTGTATTCTTTTGATACTCCCTTCATAATCTGACAAAACTAGGGTAAAAGTCGTGCTTGTTTTAAACATCGGAAGTTTAGAAAAGGAAATTTAATATTGGAAACAAATGGAAATAGTTTTACTCTTTTTGTCCTATGGATGAAACTTAATGCTTTAAATTTTACTGTCATGTTATAACTTTTGTTGTTTTTTAGTATCAACTCTTCATTATTTCAATCTTAAATAAGGGAATGGATGTTTAAAATTCAAAAATGCTCTTGACGTTGACATAGACCTCTTTAAAAAAATATCTAAGAATAATTTGTTTGCGAAAACATAAAAGCCCCTCAAGATTACATGGAGGGTCATGTTGTTGTGAGAATAAAGTTAAAATATTGCTTAGTTTACTACTGATTACTGTAACCCCATGTACTATCATGTACCCCCCCCCCCTTGGATCACCCATTCTGCATTTTATGTCTCACCATCACAATTTATCACCCTAGATGTCAGACTGAACACCAGAACAATTTTACACATTACTTCACGCTATGCCGGTGGTTATGGCTTATCACAGATTAAATCCATTGGTGATTGGAAGGATTTGAACCTGAGACCTCGAGGACTGAAGCTACGTGCTCTACTCAGTTTTTTCCCTTTAAAGCAAATAAATTTTTTGCATTTCACTTACCCTGCAGTAAAGGACAAAGTTGTCCTACCAAGGTCATGCCACCAGCTCCTAGGTATTGTCCTACAGCCACTTCTTGGAAGAAAATGGGAATTCCACAGAACACCATGGCTATGCCGTAGGTCACCAAGAAGGCTCCTAGAACGGGAGATAAATTATAATGGTATGCAATACTGGATAAGTTCTAACTTTATAAATAAGTGAGTTTCAAAGGTAAATTTTGATTTCAATTGAAGTGATGTTGACAAGACTCAAATCAAAACTTCTCATTCTTCCAAAACTTTAATGTTTTAAGATTATTCTACTCGACACAATAGTTTTTAGCACTATAATAGATTACGATACAATGCTTTGAAAGGTGTTTACAGTACGAGTACGAGCATGATAATAACACCTCCATTGGCGAGTCATATGCCACACTACCAGCAATGAATATAAAAAAAGTAAAACACAACCCGTATTTATGTTAACACAAAACTGTTAAATACCTATACACTAATTGAACACAACACTAATAGAATTGACATTTTGTTTGGTAAAGTTTTTTGTGTCCAAACCTGACAAACAATAACTGAGTAGTTTCGTTGAGCGACTGCTAAAGAAACCCATACTAAACTTTTTGTTAAAAGTGTAGCCGACGTCTTTGTCTGATTTAATCGAATTCTACTGTAAAAAAATTGCTGTTTGGTCTACAAAAAGTACAGAAACCCCCTGTTTACTTAGTAGTGTACAAAACGTATTGTTCACATAGACCAAGAGGGTTTTCCTGGACCTTTAAGTTCCATAGAGCTCAATTTCTTCTTGTATATGAAACTACCTTTTACATTTATCTCCCAGTGCAAAAAAAATCCACTTTTGATACGTATTAGAAACTACAATACTAAAGTAATTTGGATTTCATACATCCTTGCATTTTATGGTCCATTCAAAATTTTAGGCATTTTAAGGGGAATTTCCATCACTACCTCTTTGCAGATGTAACAAATTTAATCTGTTGGAGCTATTTAGGATCGAGTGGATGGAAGAGATTTCTTGCTATAAAACTGCCAAAATTTTTTTAACGGAGTACCAATATAAAAACCCAATGTACCTCCTCCGTTTTTGTAGCAGAGGTAGGGGAACCTCCACACATTGCCTAGTCCTACGCTCACACTGATGCAGGAGAACAGAAAGTCCAGTTTGTTGCCCCATCCTCCCCTTTCCTCTTCTTCTGGCTGAGGTGGTATCACTTGGGGGGTGACTCCGTCTGAAGGGCCCTGCAATAGTATTGTATGTTTTCTATTAAATGACAAATAAACGTTATCAGCAAACTGACCAATACTTTTCTCTAGTAAAGTGATATTGAAATCAACCTGTCTGATTCTTATATCCAAAGGAAATATTTGGGTATATAAATTATGCATAATCTTGAATGAATTTTCCAAAAATACATACTGCATTTAGTATAAATCATGTCACAGGTGTAGTCCTTAGCTGTATGTATAGGTACATATTTTATGAAATATGGAGAAAATCACAATAATTGCAATAACCTTTGAACCATAAAGCTAGTGGGGTAAGGTACTCCAATAAATTTTGAGCCGTAAAGCCAGTGGGGTAAGGTACTACATTACATTACATTATTTGTCATGAGAGCCGAAGCCCCCTGACTGCATACCCGGTACCTATCGTGAGACTTACCTGGGCCCCATGATGTAGGCCGAAGCTTACGCATCAACCTTTAGCACATCATGGGCGGATGACTTAAGGTCATCAGGCTCGCCGGCTGCCGAAGCAGACCCTTCGGAAGGAGGGTTGCCCCTCAATCCTAACCAGGGATTCCGGCTGCTTGTTTAAGCGTCACTCCACCTGGGTTCCACTAGGTCGGGACCTAGAGGTCCATGGTAGAGCGCCCCGACGCATTTAGTGCAAGCAACACTCGGGACCTATCTAATCCCTGACAGGCAGAACCCGCCATCAATAGCCAGGAGGAAGGGGACCGTCAGCACGCTGACGGGGGGAACCCCAACCTCCCATTTACACCACTACCCGATCGAGGCCTTACCCATTGCTGGGAAACCAGAGATAACCAGAGCGATAGATCCCCAGATACCCCTGGCGGGCTCGGACCCAGCACCCGATCTACTTCGTTTGCCCGTCAGACCCAACATCACTGCCAGGCCATCAGGGTTTCCCAAAAGGAGGCAGGTATAGAAGTGGGACCCACCCGGATGAACCTATCCACCAGAGGTGGCGACACCCTTGACTCAATTGAGGTTCCGGGAAGAACCCCCCACACTCAAGATAACCATACCGTCCGTGCTCAGAGACAGGGATTGGTTTGCATAAGTGCCTACAAACCGTTGCCCTCACACTGCGGAAAGTTATGTTGCCCTTGAGTGTCCCCGTGAGCTACGGGTACTTGCCCGTTTTCACCTCCAGGAAAGGTTACTTCCAAAGTCGAGGATTTGCCCACTGAATGCTGGTCGCACACAACAAGCAGGCCGAAGCCCAAAGAACCACAGACACAGGTAGGTTAGAGAATATGATGCACTTCCATCTCTCCTAGAGCTAAACACCCCTCCATCCTGGATAAAGGAATGTCACTGGGACCCAATGCCCAGTCGTCCATGTCTGTGGCCTACTTGAAAATGCCGATACCAACACCGAGCATTTACCTCCCCTCTGGGGGCTAGGTATTTCACCTCCCAGGACGAGGCTACTTCCAAAGTTGAGGATATGCCTCACAAAATGTCAGTCGTACACAACAGGTAGGACTCAGTCACAACCACAAGCTACAGGCAGGTGAAAGATCTATGAACTTAATCAACACTAGCAGAGCTGAACACCCCACCACCCTGAATGGAGGGAATGTCACTGGGTACTCTCACTTTGGGTACAACCCAAAGAGGCTGGCTTGTCCAGTCGTCCATAGCTTGTGGTCTACCTGAAGTGCCGGTTCCAACACCGGGCAATTACCTCCCCTCTGGGAGAGCTAGGGTCCGCGTGGTCGCCCAGGCCACGAACCCACGCAAGCGTGGGCCCCCTGCGGTTCATACGTATAAAGAAACTACAATACAAAAGTAATTTGGAATTCATACATAAGTTAATGAATGTTTTTTTTTGTGTGTAGGGTTGATGTTCATGTGGGGTAAGGTACTGGTCATGTTTGTACCCACTCACCAGTGGTTCAACTCTACAAAACCCCAAATGAACATTTTGTTAGTTCTATTATACTTTAAAACAACTTATTTGGGATAGAAGGGAATACAAATTTATCACACTTTGGTAGGGTGACAATATGCCTGTTTGAAAATGTTTTACAGAAAATCACAAAAGGAAAGGAATGTTTTTAAATATACCTGTTTGGCGGAGAACTCAATAAAAGTCTGTTCGGGGTCAACGTCTTTCTCCTGACCCCAGTAGTACATCTTCTCTGACATGACGGCGAGAGAAGTGGGGGAGCCGTGTTGGTAGTTGAGAGTGTACTTCTACAACAGAAAAGTGGAAATTACTTCTAGAAGAGATCAGAAGGTAAAGGAGCTGTGTTGGTAGTTGGAGTGTACTTCTGGGACGGAATAGAGGAGTATAGGAGCCGTATTTGGTGGTTGGGAGTGTACCTCACTTATAGAATAGAATATAGAGTTAATTAAGGGAGCCACTTGGGACTTAGGATTGTATTTGTGGAGGGGTAGCAGATTTTTATCCCCCTGGAATTCTACCCCCTGGGCAAACGTGACGTCACAAACCAGGGGGTAAAATTCCGGCCGCAAACTTTTGAGTTCCGCGACATCAGCTAATGGATTAAACGCGGAATTAAACATATATTTTAACGGTTGTGAATTTAATCAGAACACATCAAATTATAAAAACCTAGAGTGTACGGCCCGGATTTTTACCCCCGGAATTTCTTTACAAAATAAATAAATAAAGATAGGCTACTAAATAATGAAATGTTTACAATGAATTAAAAACAGAAATAAGAAAATCAATCATTCAATTTCTAAAATGGGCCATGAGGTAAAATTCTGGGGGGTAAAAATCCGGGGGTAAAATTCCGGGGGGTAAAAATCCGGGGGTAAAATCCGGGGGTAACAATCCGGCCCGTACATCTTCATTTGTCTAAACGCTAGTTATATGGACAGGGGGTTAAATTCCGGTTTTAGCGCTAATCTAATTAATCACGCTCTGGCTATTTTCATTAGACTTCCAAATCCGTGGGGGTAAAATTCCGGCCGCGAACAAACTTTTGGCCACTCAGGCTACTACGTCATATAGTGACGTCAGCTTTGCCCAGGGGGTAAAATTCCAGGGGGATTAAATTCCGGCGACCCTTTGTGAAATAGAACAGAATAGTGTGGAATAGTTTTTATAAGGATCCGACCTATTATTTAGCATTACCTATTTGATCCTGATCCTATTAGCACCTATTAGTTAGCATTGATTTTGGTTGGATACTGGTTGTGGACAACTCATCCTAATTCAACGTTCAATGTTAGTTTTGGTATGTAATTCACGTTTAACTAAGGATTATTGATACATATTTTATTACATCTAACTCTCATTTTAGAAATAATGTTACATGATAATATGTCAAGTTCAGATTTTTTATTTTACAGAATACAATTTACGCGTATGGCTTAATATGTAGTACAAGCAGTAGATAAAAAAATAGATAGCTCTATTTGGACGTAAAGGTTTTTTTTTACTTCTTAAATAAAGAGAACTCACTCAAGCAATACACAATGCCCAAGTTCCCAACTACCACTTTTTCGGTTATGTTTTCTAGAATCTTAAAAAATGTATTATATTATTAAAGTGATACAATCAAATTGTATGTAAACGGTTAAGGTAATTTACCAAATAAAAATATAGGCATATGGCACATCAAAATGAAGCTTAGATTGTGTAGATTTGCCGAAAAGTATTGATATGGACGAACTTCCTAAGGGCTCTGCCCCACAGGCTGATTTCCAAAGGGCTACACCTGGCATGCTTCCAATGTTTAAATGATTTAATTTAATTTAGTTAATGAAACAGCTGGTCAGTACAAGGAACTGGTGTTTATTTATTTACTCGAAAATATGTTTGTGACTCTTTATGTAGATTGAGGAGGGTTATGTTTGGTTTTAGAGTGAGGTTGTATAGCCTAAGTTTTGTAAAGTATTGCTCAAAGTTTCATTTTTTTAATTTATGTAGTAAGCTACATGTGAAGAGGCTTGACTAAAATTTAAGAATTATGGTAAAACATGTCATTCATGAAGCATCAATATGAAGCATTTGATGCTATTGCTACACTAAGGTATGTTGTCATATTCTTATGGATCTATTAACATCAAAAGTAGGGGTTTAAAAGTAAGTAGGTTCATACTTTTAAATCAGCTTATATTTTCAAACTAAGTCATAGAGTTGCTGTATTTTAAAACACACATCATCACCACTTTAATAGCTCTCTAGGTCACATTTTTCCCGTTGCAAAGCTCGGGTATAGCAGCTTGTTACAAATAATTTTAAAACATACACTTTAACAAAAAGAACGTTTTTTTGCAAGAAAAATATTGTCACTATTTATGTAGCAGTTTTAATAACAGCTAATGTTACATGATAATATGTCAACTTCAGATGTTAAAATATGCGACTGACACTTCAGGGGGGAGGGGGGGGAGGAAATTGATTTTGTTGCGATCCATCCAATTCTACCCATCTCATTTAACATGATAGCCCTTGCATGAGATTAACTATTTGAATACATCATGAGCTCGTCCGTTGTGAATAATACTGGCTTAGAGGTAAAGCTCGTTTAAACTTCATTGACTAAACATACTGTATGTAACATCCTCTTTGTGAGCAAAAGCAATTTTTAAATATATATGTTTATGGCTGATTAACTTATTCTGTCATACTGACATAATTTTTGGAATTTAAATAACTCGTTTCACATTATAAAGATACAAGAATTGCCTTTGGCAAGTGCTATACTATGAACAAGTTAGGTTTTTAAAAACTACGAACAGAGAAAAAAAATTATAAATCTTCATTTTAGCGAATTTCCCATATAGTGAATAAGCTGTTACCGTAGGTCTCATGGTAAAACCTGGACCCGGGATCGATTTACTTTTTCCTTTTCAGGTTCCCAGAGGCAAAAATGATCCGATTTTGATTAAATTTGGTACAAACGTGTAAACCTACGTTTATTCGAACGAGTTCACGAACCAGCATAATCGGTCTAAGGGAACCCCCGTTTATGGGGGGTTTTATGGGGTAAAAATTTATTTTTCCCATTTTTGACCCTGAAAACACAAAATTTCATATTTTCTCTCCAAACCATTTTGTAGAGCTTAAAAAAAAATAAATAATTTTGTACGTTGAAGCGTTGTTATATGCCCAACGGCTACGGACATAATTAAAAAAAAAATTTAAATTTAAAATTCCCATGTTATTTTTTTAGAGAATAAATAAACTGTTCTAGTTTGCTTGTTTATGGATATATTTTAAACTAATTTGGCAATTTTGTTTATTTCATACTAAGCTATCGACATTTCAATAAAAAAACACACCTCAATACCTTCCCCATAGCAGCAAACCTAGGTACACATTAAAACTAATTTGATTTTAATAGGAAAAATCTGACCATTTTCAGGGAATATTTTTGTAGAAATACAACCAGGTAAATTGGAAATTCGCTTAGTCTGCAGGTTTGCTGCGGAGAGGGTATTATTATTAGTGTAATGGAAAATTGTCTGCCTTTAGATATTTTTAAGTAAGCTGCTTTGATTTGATCTTCTACTGTAAAAAGTCACTCTTCCGCTTCCCCTGTGACAACGCTAGTTATATGTATGTAGTCTATATTCACACAATCCCCTGGTGTAAAATATTGTACTAAGTACCGTCATTGAGTATACACGTAACACCGTGTACTTTATCCCATAGTACACATGGCGGCCAACGTCCCTCAATTTACTCATTCAGTGCTACCAACAGTTGTATCAGCTGATCAACAACAACAATCATAGTACCTATTGGAGGGAAAGTCGAAACTCCAACTGTAGGACAAGTCCTTTAGAGTAAAAAGTGGATGTAAAATTTACATAGAACGACCTTGCACACATTTTAAAGCATAGTTAAACGTTCCTTAAGCAATATAAATTAAAATAAAATAAAACCTACGGCTACATCATGCATTGGGACCCCAATGACGTACGTCATACCTCAGGTCATACTAAACAACATACAATCTGTAACCCACAGTATCAGAATATAGAAGCGGTACGTGCCAACATGTATATGGGGCGACTTAAAGCTCCCCCCTCCCCCCTCTACGTGCTCCTACGTCACGTCTACGGCCTACAACGATGACGTCATTAGTAACCTCTAGCGTACTTGGCATGAATATAAATAGTCCAAGGCTTTATCGATACAAATAGGTTAACTACTGTTTCAGGGTCTCTGAAGCATGCGCTATTTAAATTAGTAAATTATGGTAATGTACTTTAGTTTAAGCAGTTAGGTTAGTTTAGGAAGGTTAGATTCGTTCCCTTGCGAAGTGTATAAATTTATTGGACAAACTCAAAAAATCTTTGTGAAACTAACATTTATTACCGCGCCTTCCCTTTGGGGGTCGCCGGAATTTTATCCCCCTGGAATTTCACCCCCTGGGCAAAGCTGACGTTGGTATGACGTAGTAACCTGAGCGCTCAAAAGTTTGTTCGGGAGCGGAGTTTTACCCCGCGGATTTGGAAGTCTAATGAAAATAGACAGAGCGTGATTAATTAGATTAGCAATAGAATCCGGAATTTTAAACCCCGTCCATATAACTAGCATTTAGACAACTGAAGATGTACGGCCCGGATTTTTACCCCCCGGAATTTTACCCCCTGGCCAGATATATAAATTATTAAGAATACGAATGATTGATTTTCTTATTTCTATTTTTATTTAATTGTGAACATTTTATTATTAACATAAGAAGTGAGGCTTCCACAGTCACAATTACTAACACAAAGTTCTTGGTCTTTTGGGTACGACCGCGTCGGAAAACTAGGAGAAACACTAGTTGCTGACGTTTCGGCTTCGTTGCAGATAGTAATCTTCAGAGCTGGTGACAGGCACTAACTGAGTTCACTAACTTAAAAACTATAAAAACTAGTTTCTCCTAGTTTTCCGACGTTTTACCCAGAAGACCAAGGGCTATTTTATTATTAAGTAGACTATCTTTATTTATTTATCTTTTAATCTCAACTAAGTAAACAGAATTCGCTGTTTAATTTTGATCATATTAATGAATAGTTGGCTTCAATGATCGAATCCAAATTGATCTCGAAATTAAAATTAAAAACCTGTTCGTTTAAATGATGTTACAAATAAATTAAGATAGGCTACTTAACAATAAAGTGTTTACTATTAAATTAAAACTGAATGAAGATAATTAATTATTCTCACTAATTTATATATCTGGCCAGGGGGTAAAAATCCGGAGGTAAAAATCCGGGCC